TGGATTTAATAAAGTGACTCAGCAAAACAGAACTGACACTGCAGCTCTTTAGTGTATCTAGGTGAATAGCCACTGAGTTGCAGCCAAGGGCTTATGTTTAATGCTGCCCATCCATTATGTCTTCTAGATAAGGCTACAGCCTGTTGTAACAATAGACAGGATTATCTCTAGGTGACAAAACCAAATTAGATTATACCACCCTTGCTAGCTATTTCAAAGTGGAATTCTTATTGAAAAATGAGAGCCTTGGCTAGTTTTTGAAGCTAGCTGCAATATGTCTGATCGATCAGCACAGTCTTGTTAAATTTCTGCAATTTTAGTTAGATGTGATAGTTGGCCAATAAGGTCATCCTTTATCACTGTTTGAGACATCATGCAGAATGTATGGATTTTATGCTACAGTGGATGCATTGTGTAACTCTGTCCTCTAAGTGCTATCCTCATTTGTAAGATAGCTTAACAAAACATAATTGAAGAAGCAAGGTGAGGGATTTTGTTTTGTTTTGTTTTTTGTTTGGTTTTGGGGCTTCTTTTTTTTAAGATACCTGTTAAAAAAAATCAGTGGCTGAAGTCAAATGCAACAAAGTGATATATGTAGAGCAAATGTTCTGTATTTATAGAGGAAAAAATTGATTAGGAGGAACTTTTGTCATTTAGTATTAGGTACATGTTCGTTTGTGGAATGACCAAAGAACCATAAAGGAGGCATGTTACTAAAATGTTATGGGTGCTATTCTTGGGGATTTATAAAAGCTTAAAATCAAGTGCTTTTAAGGGTGCAAATACAGCTTTAAATACATGCCAAATATATCAAAAGTCTGTGGCCTTCTATTTTTACTTTAAAAAATGTACAGGAAAGATATCAGTATATATATTTTGGGGCTCAGAATAGTACTGTGTAGTTGGCATTCTTGCAGATTTAGCTCAATTCAAGTGCCTTACCAGGAAATAATTCTCATGCCCGAGATCCCCTGGCCTGCACTCGGCTTGGATCAATCCTCTGCCTAGAAATCAGTTGCCTATAAAAATGGTGAGATTCTTTTTAATTCAGACCCCAAAGACAGCTTCCTATTGATCCTCGGATTTCTTTGAGGGAGGCCAGTTTTGGGTCAAGGACCAGGCATCTCAAAGGAAGGGTTTTTCACTGTGATTCTATGTAGTTCTGTTGAAAAAGGCAGGAGATGTCTTATCTTTTCTCTAAAGGATCCTTCATAGTCCCTTCCTTTAAAAGGTGGCCCCTCAGACAGTTATGGCTGTAGTTGTGTCCATCCATGAAGTAGTTCCAAAGGGAAAAATGCAGTGGGAAGGGTTGCTTTTTCTGCTGTAGTGTAGCTGTAGTTTCTGCTGTAGCATAGCTTTTTCTGCTGTAGGGTTGATTTTTCTGCCTCATGCCATGAGCTCTACGACAAGCAGGGTAAACCATGCCATCTAATGTCTGGGTAACAAAATGAATTTGTTATGAATTAATTAACATAGCAGTGTAGACACATTGCTCCTTGTAAACCCCTGCACTTCTTCATTGTAGTTCTGTGAAGGCTGTCTGTCTGTTCCAGCATCCCAAGAAATTTGACTAGACTGGAACCTTCTGTCCTTTGCCCTCACATCTTATCAGGGAGTGGGTGAGGCAGTCCTTCCTGAAGGCCATATTAATTAGAGGAGCGATTAGATATATCGCTCCATATCAGATCGGCACCAATAAAAGGAAAATTGACATTATCGGCAATTGGGTTTTTTTGGCCAATGTAGCTGATAATGTCATTGATAAATGTTGCGTGCATGTGTGCAGCTACAGCATGCACATGGCCAGGAATTCAGTGACTTGGAGAGCAGCATCCAGCTGGTAAACCTATGGGGGAGCAAGGGCATGGGGGAGGGCCATGGGGGGACAGATCGAGGCCCCCACCCCACAGTGAGGGAAGGAGTAGAGCAGGGGCAAAGTGGAGCGTGGGGTGGAGCCGCAGGTGGCTCATCCAGGGGTCAGCAAGGGCGGGTAGCTCTGCTCCGCTGCAGAGCCCCTCTGGGGGAGGCACGGGGGGCATGTGCCCCTGGATTTATGTGTGGGGTGAGGGTGGGCTGCCCTCCGCAAGCTTGGGGCCAAGGGCAGCACCCGCCTCTTCCCAGCAGGGGTGTTGGGCCGAGGCTGCACTTGGGGCAGTAGTAGCGCTGCAAGGGGTAGCTATGGGGTGGGCTACAGCCCCCCCAGAAATTTGCCGAAGCCAGCCCCCCCTGCACCTCTCAGACGAACAGCCCGTGGCTCCGCTCAGCACCCTGCCCTGTCCCAGCTGGGCAGTGCCTGCTCCTGCCCTCGCCTGTTTCCCTGCCTCAGCCCCACTTCCTCCCTCACCGTGGCCACCTCAATCTGCCCCTTCACCCCCAGAGACCTATCAGCTGGATGCTACACTCCAAGCTGCTGGGCTGCATATTAGCTATCAGATCGGTATCAGCTGATATAGCTGGTTAGTAATCGGCCATCGGTATTGGCCAAAAAAATCTTTATCGGTGCAACCCTAATATTAATCGCTACAGCCCTTGTGATGCCTTCTGGATGTACGAATGGCCTCAAAATCAGTTTGTTAGGAACATAATTCTTCCAGACAGTTCTGTACCACCTCACCATGGAGGAATTTTTATCTTTCCTTAGCTTACCTTTGACTAACACAGGATCATCCTCATTTTTGGGAAGTAGACCACCTTTATATACTATGTCCTGCACCTTGTACAGTATGACCCTGGATCATGACTGGAATACCTAGGCCCTATGATAAAGACAAAATAATAATATGTGACCCTCTAAGGCCTGGTAGAACAAGCTATAGATGAGATGTTGACATACCTCTGTAGTGAAGGACCACTGTGATAATGCTATAGTTTTGCTCATCTGCATGTTTTCCATTGTGACTACAATTAACTAGTAGGTCTAGGTTTCTCTGGATGTCGATTGAATTGTGTAATGGAAACTGTATTTCATTCCCAAAAGTGCTCAAAATAACTATAAACAGGTGCTCTAAAAACTATGTTTTTTGAGCAATATTCTTTATAGCACACCCATTGTACTCTGGATACATAACCTTAAAGACATCCCAAGAATTATGTTAATCCCATTATCAGACATTTTGTACTATGCAAAGATCATTCAAATGCCAGTTGGCCAGCAGTGAAAATCAGGTTCGTCTAAGTTGGACTGCCAAAAGGAAGAGACAGATATGTAGAACCCCCCCCCCCCCCCATTTATCCTGACTTAAGAGAACCGAAAATGATTGTTCAAATTAGATTTCTGGCAGATCTTACAACAAGTGTACGCTTTGTAGCTTTCTGAGCAAAATTACAGTTTAAGGTCAAACTATATTGAATTAATTTGTTTCCTGAAAAATCAAAGCAAAGCTTGATTTAAAAAAAAAATCCCTTGTCTAAATTAAGGCTCTGTTTTTCGTTGTCACTGCTTCTGTTTGGATTTATTTCAAAGGTAAAGGAAAAAAGGAAAGTTCTTTCTGTTTTTTCAGTTGATTTAGTGCCTCAGTGGAATAATGGTCTCCGTTGTTGCAAGCTTAAAGAATGGTTAGTGTATATTAGTTGATAAGTATTTTCTAAGTTAATAGGATATGTTAAAGGGATGCCATCCATTTAAAATCATATTGCTTTTTGGAACTGGTTTGTCCACGTGTGGTAAGCGTTATTACAAAACAACTATGACAGAAATTAGCTGAAGGGATTGGCATGGCAGGGGGGTTCCCCCTGTTTTTTAATTTGCTTGTTTGCATTTGGCAGCCTTGTGTGTCTAGGCAGTTCTTTCTCTTGCATAGAGAGTGAGACACATTTTCAGAATGACTGAAAAGTTCAGAATTTTCAGAATGTGCTTTTAGGTACCTTCTTCTTGGGACTCAGTTCAAGAAAATGTGGGCTTAGTTTGTAGACATGCAGCACACCCTCAGTTTCCATTCACTTGAGGTATTTAGAGTACTAACTTCTCTGCACTTCTGAAAACAAGCCCCCAGGTTGGATGCAGGGTATAGGGAGGGCAATCTGTGACCCCAGAAATAAAGACACCCAAAATCAGAGGGCTCTTTTGAAAACATTGACTTAAGTTATCATTGTTTGCTATGCATGGGACCTTTCATGAAGTAACAGGAACAGGGAAAACCTTTCTGAAAAAAACAAGCAAATATACTTTCCTGGCAGGGGGGACCTCTTATACCTAGAATTACTCAAAATCACTTTTTAACTGGACTGGATTTCAGGTTGCTGGAGTTGTTTTAATTCAGAGTAATTTAGCAGTGTATTCTATACCATATGTCAGAGTTTCATGACAAAATAAGAGGAAATGGTTTAGGCCTAACATGCAGTGTGCAGATGAACCAAAATGCATCCTAACTTTTGTCCCCAGAAGTGCTATGTTACAGCTGAAATCAGA